GCCCGATATTTATTAGGTTGGCTTTAAGCTAAGTTGACTACAGCGGAACCAACACGAAGCTAGAATTCTTGATTACTCTGGTAATTTGCTTGTTTTTTACCCCTGGATTGTGATGCTTTTTTACCTCGTGGCGCTACGTATAGATGCAGTGTAGTCGTACCTTACAGATGCGCAGTGCGGATTGCTGCGAAAACCAGCTTCTTACAGGGGCCCAGACTCAGGGGTCCATCATGTGTCCTTGGCTTCCCTCTCGCCTGCTTGCTACATAGTAGGTTAGGTACTCGAAGTGGTCGGGGTGGATCGGCGGGCATGACGGCTCATTTGAGGTTAGCAATCTATCTGCAGGTCACCTGGGGCTGATTCCATTTTGGTTTGGCGTCGTGCCATGCTCGAGTCGCAGGCTAGGGGGGCTAGAATGACAGGCCCTCGCCCACCGCCGAACCAAGAAGTAACCTATAACGGGCTCTGAAACTACAGGACGGCCGTATGGAAGTGAAAAAGAAATAAGGGTACATACATATGCAAATCAAGGTTTTGTACCTATCTGCACGTCTGTTCGCATATGCAGACCCGGTGACAGGCCAATAAAATGATTGCTGGTACGGATTGCCTACTGTATGGAGATGTACATCTCTCGCCGTCTCCAATTTTAATATCCCAGAAAAAAAGAGTCCGTGTCGTTGACCATCGTGCCGGTCCCTTTTTGTTGTTCTTGTTCCCCTCCCTCTTCCGACATATTCTTTCTATTCCGTACGCTACGTGTGAGGTTACGCCCGTGAAGCCGATGTTGCGTTCAAACGACGGCATACAGAGTTTAGGAGCTTAGGGACCGGGCCGAGAGACCTATTATCACAGCCGTATCCAATCAGAGCGTCAATAATCTGCAATCATTCCTTGCCGAGAATACGGGAGCTAGGCTGGGGCTCCTTCGCCGATTCGATAATTGACTGGTCGACTTCCGCAACACGACGAAACCTCAAGTCAAGCGCATCGCGGAAACACGCGATGCTAAAGACGACTACGATCTATACTCACAGGATACGAGGGTAGCTCCCTTTGGGGATGCCAGCTTCGACTCTACCTGAGTTGTTACCCTAATCGCCCACCGACGCTGCAACCATCGGACCAATTGGTTCGCGATTAGTCCATTCGTTTCAGTCTACGACCACTGTTCAACCGCAACGCAACGCTTTTTCGGCATCAGAAGCTTGCCGTCCATGTCTGTCTGCATTGAGATAGTAACGAAGACAACGAGAAGTGTAGAAGACAGCCTCCAAGCTCGATACCTGATTTCTACGGCCGAATATCAAAGCTGAGATCATTGGCAGTGCTGGATAGAGGCAATAAAGCTCGCTTGTCGAGTTGACTTGTCTAGACCCAATTGATTTGTCGCCGATTCAAACAATCGACTTCTGAAACATGGGTCACAAATCCAAATTTACGTTTCCCATGCCGGGACGCTCCTCAAAGCAGCCACCGACTCCGGCGATCTCGAATTCCCTTTCCAAGGCGGAGAAGATATTAGGAACTGGTGGAATGAACCTTGGCTCGCCCACCGGATTAAGGGATCCTGGCCGATCGTGGGAGACGAGTTCGAACGGTGGCATCAGCATATCGATATCCGAGAGCAGCGCTAGTCAGTCGGGCGTTCTGGAAGGGGATGACGATGGACTTGCAGGAACGACCTACGGCACGGCGTTATGGGAAGTAGAATCGGAAGCTCTCCCACGACGACTGCGCAGCAACAAAGGGATTTTCGGGAAGGGCTTGAAGACGAAAAGATCGGCTATAACACTTGGTGCTCGCAGCCGGGATGTCATGACAGACGACACTCATTCTCGACGACCCCAATCTAGTTCTACTTCATATTCGCACTATGAGCCGGCCAAGATGCCGCTCTCCATATCCCAGCAGACTTCCAACTCTGCAATGGCGAAAGGACTTCCTACGAAGGCTGGCGCGCTTTTGGATATCGATGGGGCGCTCTCTGGTAAGGGACAAAGTAGAAAGAAACCTGCGAAATTAGACTTTTCCAAGTTGAGGTTGAGGAGTCGTAAGGACCAGGGTTTGGACGTCAATGGAGTCGGACCGGTTCTGGGGAATAACTATGTAATGAGGTCGCCATCAATCATGTCGCATATGTCACATCCCGTCGTCTCGCCGATGCGGCCGTCGCCAACAAGCGCCGGAAGTAGTCAGATTACCCCGAAACCAGCCCCGAAGCTCCAATCTAAACGTTCCATAGGGGCCATGACAAACACAGGGCGCTTAAAGGGAACTAATGATGCGGGCACACTACACCAACTTTACGATCATTACGAGCAGATGTCATTTAGGCATGCTGAAGACTTGACCGAGGAGGACGAGGAAGATGAGGCCAGAGTGGAAGAGCCGCAGCTGAGCGAGCAACGTCTACTTCCTCGAACGTACAAGCCAGCAATCCCCGAGGTATCTCGTGAGAATATGGTTACGCCAATGGCAAGCGCGATGAATAGAGACTCGAGCGCGAAATGGAATCATAGCCGAAACACTTCACAAGCAAGTAAGATTACAGCGACAAGAACTGAAATACCCAATACCTTGCAGTTACGACCAACGTCGAGGGGCGATTATCCAGCCAGTGTATCAAGTCGACATACCCGGACTTCAAAGGCCACGCCGTCAATCATGAGTACCTTGGACTCTGATCGGCAGCAGCAGAGCGTCTTGTCTCTAACAGATTCGGAATCGGATGAAGAAGGTTCTAGGGCGGGTTCATCTTTGCCATCTTACGAGAACAGCTCTCGCGATGACCTCAGCGTATCCTCAAGTCAACGACAACAGAACACTTCGCGACTTTCTGTCAGCAGTCACTCAACTAACCCCAAGGGTGCATCATACTCGCACCTTAATGAATATCTTACTATACCTCACGCCTCTCCGAAATCGAAGAGCAGCCGTTCGCCATCAACGAATACTCTCAATTCGAGTGCTTCCTCTTTAAGCACGGCTACTCATACATCTCTACCTTCGCATCAGAACCCCCGCGCATCCGTGTCAACGCAGGGGACGACAGGCTCTGTGCTGTCCCCTACATATAGTAATCAGACCAACTATACGGTACAAGAAGCGAAAGCGATATCCTTTACTCCACTGGCATCCACAGCCGAAGCCGCATCGACGGTCTCCGCGGATCATATGCCAAGCAGCTTGAACCATATAATTTCGCAACAGACGAGGCAACGTACATCGCAAAACTCTCATACCTCTGACCAGCCCACGCCGCCAATATCGCCTACTAGCGTTGAGTTTTACCGGAAATCGCAGGATTCAGTGCGACAAGAGCCCGCGGCGGGCAGCGCTAGCGAACCGCACAATGGACGCTTGATGGCCGTGACGCGACAGGAGGAAATGCTTCTCGCCGCGCTGCGCAAGAAGAGAGCCAGGATGCGGGAGAACATAATTGCCGAGATCGAGGAGGACCGAAGCTTGAGCAGCCCAGCGAGCGGCAGCGTCGCGGGCGTGGAAAGGATGGCGTCGACGAGTCCAAGAAGCAGGGCGGAGAGGCAGGAGGCTAGGGACACCCACGCCCGAACCAAGGAATCCAAGAACCTACGGAAGCGATCGTCTTCCCTCCAGCGGTCCGGCAGCAGCCTCGGGCGGTTTCCGGTGCGGTCCAACGCGGTGCCGTCAACAAGCCACAGCGACCCGTCCGAGAAGATCTCTGCTTCTGCCCGGTCGCGCATGTCCCCGGAGCCCGAGGTCCAGCGCACAGGAAAGACGCGCCACGAGCGCGTGCTCCTCTACCTGGATCGGCCGATCGACAGCATTAACGTGATCGACCAGGCGGAGCCGAGCCCCGACCTGAGCGAGTTCCTCGACGAAGATCTCGATTTCCCGCCGAGCGAGCGGCGCAGCCGGACCCGGTCCAAACTCGGCAGCAGCTCCCACGGCTTTCCTTATAACAACAGCACCAGTAACAACCACAACAGCAACAGCGTACGGGAGGCGCATGGGCGACCGCGGCTCGACTCGAGCCCCGTGAGCTCGAGGGGCAGTCCGCCGAAGGACGTGTCGATCCCGATCGCCAGGTCGGAGACCATCGAGGATATCGACGCCGACTTTGACGACTTCGAGGATATCGTGCACCGGCGCAAGGGAGCCGGGCTTCAGACGGTGCCGGAGAGGGAGATCCCGAGGCCGGATAGTCCCGTGTCCCCCGCGGATGGGCTGCTGGCGCCGTCGACGCTAGGGCATAAGAAGGGCAAGAAGAGCGCTGTGAGGTTGAGCGCCGTGGGACAGATAAGCTCTCCGGTGCCGTGGTGGGGTGACGATGACTAAATAAAGGAGATGTGTCATTTGCTCTACATATAATGTTTGTATTTTTTCCTTTTTTTGAGGATGACCGTTGTCGCATCCATCTCGATGCACGAGAGCAACAACAGCACATGCCGCCGCCATATTTCTCTTTTGTCCAACATATCTACACATGTGCGCATATACTACCTACTACTACTGCCATTACTGTTTGCTTAGCGTTTTTTGAAAAGTTTTACGAACTCCCCGGCGCGAGCGAGTTCAAGGTGGGGGGAATCTAAAGATCGGAGGGATTTATCACATCATATTTATGATACAGTGGAAAACTCCAGCATCACTGCTTGACGACGACTAATACATCTCATCGAAAATTCTTATCTATTTGCTCTGTATGTAACAATCAGAATCTGTGATGGTATTTAGGGGGGAAGGGGAGATGAGGGAAGGCTGGTGGGCGGTGCAGCTTAGCAAGTAGCACAAGTATGATAAATCACAAGAAAACTTTACATTCTTGAATCGCACTGCGCCAAAGGATTTAAACTGTATTATTAGGAACTAAATAGATGGTGTGGCATATGCAAATTTAGTAGATATTGTGTGTGACCTCTCAGATTTGTCTTAGGTCCTATGATATATAAAGGGTTGAAAGCCCATGTTCTTCCAATCAAAGTGATTGGCGATGGCTCACTCCATCCCCAATGATGGCTAGCTTGGCCGAGCGGTCTAAGGCGGTGGTTTTAAGTCGGATGTATATCCTAGAATCTTGAACACCATTATCGAGAGATGCGCAGGTTCGAACCCTGCAGCTAGCAAATTTATCTTTTGGGAAATTCGATAAATACTATATGACTGTCAATATTTCTCCTTTTTATTATTCATGCATGTGTTTAATCACTTCTGCCGAAATATCTACGTTGTGGATTTTTGCGTCACAACGGGATTGAATTACACCAATGAAAAGATTCAAGCGGTCTAATCTACGAAGATGCTCTCATAAATCAAGACTTTGCTTAGTTCTCTACTACCAAGCGACAGGATCAGGAATGACTCGGAGTAGGAACCTATAACTCTTACCGTTTATTCTGCATTTCTGGATTTAGGTTCTTCTGTGTCGGTGTGACGGATTACTTCCTGTTGGCACCTTCTGCCACCCCGCATTTCCCTCCTTAGCAGTACTCACTAGGGGCTTAATAGTGACAGAGCTTTAAGGTGATAGAGCCAAAGCTGGCGCTATTGTCAGTAGCTGAATGATAATGGATGGTAACGGGACCACGTATTAATATCACGCGGCCATGATTCATCATGCTAACGAAGCAGAAATGACGGCTAGAATCGAAGTAATACAATACACATCTCGTTTCAAGCAAACCGGAGGACGTATGGAATCCGTTACTCATTTTTCGGATTCGAACAGACCCTCGCAGCAATCAGATCGCTCCGTGAGGTCATGGACTGTTAGGACACATCAATCGATAAAACTACGAAGGCATGTGTCAGGAGAGAGGCCGTTTTGTCATCCGAAGGAAGGCATATAATTGCAATATCCTTCTGTATTATTGTTATTATTAATGATAGCATGACTGTGCAATACTTCCCTGCTAGGATCTGCATCACACTCTGTCTGCATCCTGCTCGACATTAGGTTCTAGGTACGTGCAGAATCGTGGTAGCACATCCATTTTAGCGCTCAGGCACAGCGCAACCTGGTCTTCGATGATCCTTACGTCTTGGGGACAATTCGAACGCCTTTGATATCATCGGATAAGACAAGCTTCTGCAGCCTTTTGGGGGAGAACAATTACTCCTGAAAACTATTCCGCTTATTATCCTATTTCCCTTTTTCTTCATTTTGCAATTCGATTGTAGTCTGTTTGCCTTGGGTACCTGCAAAGTCAACCCGTCGAAATATTCATCTGTAGTTATTGCAACCGAATTCCAGAGGCGGCTTGCATACTTCGACATCTAACGTCACATCCAGGGGTAAAAAGCTTGTCAGGGCAGGCCCCATTTTGGAGTGAGTAAGGTTAGAAGCGCGTGCACCTAAACTGGCAGTATACCTTCATGCCTTGGAATTCCCTTTTTAAAAGTCAAGACAAGACGCGACGCATCATCATCGTTTTTTCGATCCAATTTTTTTGCTACTAGTCACCAACCACGATTCCTGTTAATCTAGCATCTGCCGCGTCATAATCCATTTGCATAGCATTGGTCTTTTCGCGCAGGAACTCTTTTTGGGGTATTTGGCCGAATTGGCAAATATTTTGAAACCCCAACTTCTGAAGAAAAAAAAAGAAGAGGACGACTACCCAAACAACCACGCAAATACGAACGAGACTTACCTACTTGGCCGAACTGCGACCGCAATCTACCACTATTCATCATGGCTCTCCTTGATGGTACCCCGCAATCCGTGGGAGGGCCGACCCTCTTCGGCATACCCATGAAGCAAGTTTCTCTCATTACGGTAGGTACCTAGGTAGTTTGGAAAGGATGTTGTTTGGTGATAGCACAAGTTGACTAACTTTTCGTTGTTTCTAGTTGACTTTCCAAAACTCGGCGTTGATTCTTCTTATGCATTACTCTCGATTGATGCCTCCGAGCGGCGATCACCGATACTTCACTTCGACAGCCGTGTTCTTGACGGAGGTGATCAAATTGGCTATCTCCCTGACGTTCGCCATGTACGTAGTCGCGAGAAACCTAGCGCCCTCGACGCCCGCGACCGTCATATTCGAGCAGATCTACAACTCGGTGTTCTCTGGCGATGGATGGAAGCTGGCTATCCCTGCGACACTCTATACTGTACAGAACATGCTACAATATGTGGCAGTAGGGAATCTAGACCCGGTACACTTCCAGGTCCTCTACCAGCTCAAGATCCTTACGACCGCCGTCTTTACGGTTTCTATGCTTGGCCGATCGTTGACTGTGAGACGCTGGATTTCTCTCATCATCCTGACTATTGGCGTCTCGGTGGTTTCGATTCCATCCTCCAACTCAAAAGACAGCTCCTTCATGATCCACGACATGACAGATCACTTCTTCCCCCGGTCCGTACATGAGCTGGGACAGATGGCGAACGGCATGGGCGAAGTTGCTAGGGAGCTCACGAAGCGTGGCATGGAAGGTGTCGCAGAGGTTGGTCAAGCTCTTGCAAAGCGCTCGGCTACGTACGAAGGAATTGAGGAAGACCAAAACACGGCGCTCGTTATGAACTACTCGATAGGTCTCTCAGCTGTGATGGCTGCTGCAGTCCTCTCCGGCTTGACAGGCGTCTACTTCGAGAAGGTTCTTAAAGACACGGAGAACCCAGCTTCGGTTTGGACGCGCAACATTCAGCTGTCCTTCTACTCGCTATTCCCAGCGGTGCTTGGCATTATTTTCAAGGATGGCGAGGAGATTGCGACGCATGGCTTCTTTGATGGCTATAACGGGATTGTTTGGTCTTTGATTGTCCTACAAGCGTTTGGTGGCGTGTTTGCCTCGCTTTGCATCAACTATGCCGACAATATCGCCAAGAACTTTGCTACAAGCATAAGCATTGTCATAGGCTTCCTGTTCAGTGTCTGGTTCTTCAGGGTTCAGGTGACATTAACAGTGAGTTATACATCGGGAGCAGCTGATACATTTGCACTTGAACTTTGCTAATTGAATTACAGTTCGTGATTGGAACGGTCCTGGTACTGGTTTCAACCTTCCTCTACACGGGCCCCGATCGGAAGCGTGGTCGGCCGCCCCCGATCAGCATCGTCAGTTTCGAGAAGACCACGATTGACCCGATGAATACGCCGAGGTACGCAGACGATAAGCTTAGCGTTCCCAATCCGCTCGAGAACATGAAGGCGATGGGTCTATCGACGTCGCGCCCCGCCTCGCCGTTGCGGCACCATAGCCGCGTGCCCTCGTCGCGAGGTAAGGACCGAGACGAATGAGGTTTTCCGAGTGTAACTCGGATAATTGAGCCTACCTATTTACGATGCGAAGTCCGACGGATGTGTTGATCCCTCGAATCAGAGGAGAATCTAGTCAAAGTAAGCGCCGAGCCGAAGGTAGAAACTACATCATGGCTTGCATCAAAGAGTTACGAGACTTTGTGGCAATCGAGAAAAATCGCTGAGTGATTTTAAGAGCATGCGCAAGTCAACATTACGATCGGAAAATATAAGCGCGAAACAGCTTGGAAACTGGGTAGGAACAGCAACAGGTTACGGACTTCTTAAAATATCTTTTAGAAGAAGAATGACTTTATGCATGCTATGTGAATATTTCTCTTCTCAGGCTTTCAGGGTGTTTTTAGTGAGAAATAGTATACACTTGAGGCTATTCCAAACCCCTTTTTCGAGAACCCCCCTTTGTGAATTTTGTGGCGATGTTACATATTTACTTAGGTTGAGTGCCAGGGGACCTGCAACAGAAGGGGCGTGGTCTGATCATGGCTTATGTCATGGTGTCCAAGTCGAACATGCCAATTCTTCAGTGCTAACCTTCGGCAGGTACGATCATGAAGCAGGCAGAATTCTCAAACCCATACCCATTAGGCCCCAGCAGTTATTCCACGTCTTCGCCTTTCTCACACTTCGTCAATTCCCCCCTACTCTTCCAATCCCTTCCCAATCGACCTCCAATATGCTACTTTCATGCCATCGTTGACCAGTTAATGTTATATATGATTATCAACGGTTATTGTAGTATCGTGACTGTCATTACTTCTCGAAATCTTTCTACATCGTAGCGGCCATCACTTCGATTTAACCATGTTTAGGGGCGTCGGGTCGGACGGCGACAGCCATATCTATGGATTTCCTAACAGAATTGGGCGTGATAGACATGCCCAGAATATCATCGACCATACGAACACCCTGCTCCCAGACTTCAACCACCGATTGCCTCGCTTTAACAGTGAATATGGAGTGCTGGCCGACCCATATGGTAGCCAAGGAATAGATGATCAGGATCTTGATGACTTTGGTAAGTTCATTGGTTAAATTCATCTTCTTAGGGGGTCTATTTGGACTTTAGTAACTCCCAAATTGAACAGATCGTATTGTGCTAGGCCGACCGCAGAGATCCTCCTATATTTCCAGCTCGGACTACCATGAGCAGCGCCTGTCCTTGCCCCCCTTTCATACGCCCAATCAACAACAACGTGTAGTTGGAGATGCTAGTCATCATTTCAGACAAAGTACACCACGCGGCCTTGATTTCCCTTCGCCGTTTTCGGATGATATAACTCATGTAAGAAGAATTGAACCAAGCCCGGCTTCTCAGTCTCTCTTCAGGCGCGAGAGACCTCAAAGATTAGGAGAACTTCAGCCCGGCATTCAAACAGCCACTCCCCCCTTCTACAATGGTTGGTTGACAATCCCAGCTCCCTCACGGAAGGTATAATAACAACGATGACAAGCTTTGAACCCAACCCCAGCCCATGACAATAGCGTCAGCAGTAGTTCTCCGTCGAACTTAGGCGCATCTAGTCCTTCCACGCGCCTCAGCCTCCAACGGAATGCCAAGTTCACAGAAAATCCTCTTGTGACGCACAAGAGTGCTAGCAATTTGAGACTCGACCTTGAGCATGCTCCGAACGGACCCCCGGTTGTGAGGTCTACTCGCCTTGTCGATCCACGACAAGCCTTACCTGATAAATTCCGAAACGTTTTTCCCTATGAGCTCTTCAACGTTGTCCAGTCGAAATGCTTCCCGCTCGTATACGGCACCAACGACAACGTTGTCGTATCTGCTCCCACAGGCTGTGGAAAGACTGCAATCCTAGAAATGGCAATCTGCAAGCTCACCATGAGCCCAGGCAGTGAGA